AAATTATAAATTTGTAAAGAGTTTATCTCTATTAAATAGCTATTGAAAGTATATGATCAAATAATTAAAATATAAAATATGACCATAACTTAATTATTTAAATATATTTTAAATAAAAATTAGTGAAATTAAATTTATTTACATTGATAGATTATCCTACTCAATGTAAAAATGTTAAAATGAGGCAACTTATTTTTATTATTATTTTTTATTAATATTAATTTTTATCTTTTGAGTTTTATTTTTCTTTGAAGCTAGTCATACGGCTTCTATGACTAAATTTTACATAATATATACTTGTTCAACTTGGTAAAAAATGACAAGTCTTGTGAATTGAATCAAGTTTGCATCTAATTTAGTTTTATGAGCAAGTTAACACGATTTTATTTACTAAAAATATAAAAATGATAAACTCAAGTAATTAGCTCACGAGTTAATTGAGTTTACATCTAGTTTAATTTTATAAACGAGTTGCCGCAATTTTGTAAGTTTAAAATATAAAAAATACTGAATTGACAAAGTCAACTTAAAAGTTTAACAATAATGGTACCAACTTAACTCTTGACCACATGCTTCAAACTAAACTTGTTTGAAATATTATTTTAAATTAAAAAATAAAGATCACTATTAACCTTAAAACAACATGAGCTTGATTGGTTTCTATTTTTAAAAATAAAAAATTTAAAAATTTGTTTGGGTAAGTGTTTTGAATTTAATTATTTTTAAAACTATTTTATTTTTTATCTTTTAAAAAAACAGAAACTCAAAATATCTATTACCAGGAATGAGGAAGAAACTTTGGACGATATATAGTTCATACAAAATTTCATTTCCTTCTCAATGGTTTTATTATGCCTAATTTTAATTTCACAAGTTTGGCTCTTTCATACATGTTTTAACCTATCTTCGTGTTTAATTTATTTCCACAACACTCATTGCGAAAATATTCCTCCAATATTTTTCTCCTTACCTCTCTTCTGGTGGTGATTGACTTATGCCCCATTTGATAAGTAGATTGTATGTAAATTTGAGGTTAATTATAATTAATATAATTTATAAATATTTTATGGATAAATTGATAGTCAAAACAATATCAAAGAGCCATATACCTCCATGCTTTTAGGCAGATATTCAGGCCAGTCATTCCAGCATCAACCCTCTTGTTAGAAGGTAGGAATTCCTAAGATTTCAGAAGAATTTTATTAGTTACATTTATTGTAAATTTAAAACTTTCAGAAGTTAGATTATCTTTTGATTTTCTCTGGATTAAGATTTATAAAATTTTATCTTTTGAATAATGTGGCCTTCTAAATAATTTATTTAATATGTTAATATATATTAATGTTAAAAAATTGGGTATTTGTTTATGGTTTGTGTATGCTACTATGCTTATTTAGCAATTGATATTGTTATGAATGATAAGCAATCACTTAAAAGAGGAGGAGAAAATAAATGGATATAGAATGGCAAAAAAATATCACGTCTTAATTCAAAAATTTATTTTTTTATTATATGTTAATCATTGAGTTTACTTTTATTTGAGAAAAAAAAATTTTATATTAGTTCACGTTCATTTATATAAATATATATATGAATCCAAAATTAAATTTCCTTCTAAAGATAAAGATTTTTTCCGCAATTTTCAAAATGTCCAAGAGCCTTCTGTCATTTTTCCAGTCTTCGCACTCTATTTCCAAGTCAATACTCGCGGCGTAGGTCTTCCAATAATGTTCGTCGCCCCAATTTTCTTCTTTTTGTCTCCTTACTAAGCTTGAGCCTTTTCTTTTCGTTTTCTTTTCTTGCCTCTGTCACGTAATTCAATAAATGCTAATATAAAGGAATAAATTCACTTTTATTTGAAAATCAGTTCTTGTTTAAAGTGTATTACTATTACTATAGAAGTGGTGGATTATCTCTGTTTTTAAATTTTGTTTCCTAGATTTCCCATATGCCTTTGTATATTTGATTTGATTGTGACCAGAATAGGAATTAAAGTGCATGCAGGGTATTATTTTTATGTAATATTGATTATAATCATTATCCTTATTTCTAATTTTTTTATTTTTCTAAAAATATAAAAAAAATCATTTCCACTTCATTTCTCTTTTTATAACATGCAAACCGTTTAATGCTTCACGTGCAATTCACTATGAAGGAAGCACAATGTCACAGGACCATTACTCTCTCCTCAAAAAGCTAGCTTATTGAGGTGTGCAGCGCACTCATTTATATAGCCAAAACCCTCATCAAGTCCCTCCAAGGTGGGACTTGACAATTCCCTCGACCAATTCGTGATGCCCCCATCATGGGTGGCCCACTAGAGGGGCCACAGATTGGGCAAACTCAGGTCTGACTCTGATACTACTTTGTCATGCGGCCATTACTCTCTCCCCAAAAAGTTAGCTCATTGGAGTGTGAAGCACACCCATTTATATAGCCAGAACCTTTTCTAAGTCCCTCCAATATGGGACCTGACAACAAGCACAACATGAGGACATTTCATGCGATCATGGTAAGTGTGGAGTGTTGATTTCACATCTAAATTATTTAAATTTAATTTTGACATTTAGATTTAATTTAATGTAATTAATATATTTTTAGTGATCTATTGTTTAACTATGAGCAGAATTTAAAATAAAGCTAATTTTCCAATTATCACATTTTAAAAAATAATTTATTATTTAAAATTATTAATAAAAGAACTTTAAATTTACAACGTCAAAAATAAATTTTAAAAAGTCTAGATCTTATAGCAATGACACTCAATTATTGTATCTAGCAAACCTCTAAATGCAGTCATGGTGGACATTGATCATTTAATTATCCTTCATCATGCAGCACCCTTACAGTACAGTGGTCATTGTCTCATTGATCAAATGCACACGAATCATCCAATTTTAATGAAGTTTCATCATTTTTGTCGTTTTCGCAAGAGTATGGATCTAAGTTAATATGATCTTTCTTCAGTAGCATACAAACACAAAAGATCAATTGATCTTAAACTTTATGAGCAAAGAAAGCACTTTTGATTTTGGTTAGTTTCAAAAAGCTAGATATAGCATAAGAATACCTACATGAATATCAAATCAAATGGGTTAGAACCAACTTTTGCTGGATTTTGAGATGGGAACCTCCAAATAATTGTTATAGGCTTGGATAAAAAAAAAAAACAAGAGGACTTGAGTGAAAGAAAGTTTTATTACTACTTCCAACAATAATTTACACTTACTTGTTTGGACTTTTCAACATGCTCTCACTGTGTCACTTCACTCGCTTTTCACACCCCTAGCATATGTATACACTCTTGCTTCTCTGCACGGTGCACGCACACTTAAATCGGACTCACTTTTCTTTTTCTGTCAAAAAAAAAAAAAGACTCGGACTCACTTTTAAGTTTTAATGCTTCTTCACTTCAGTTTCTCACCAGGGGCGCGTGCACATGTTTATATAGCTGAGGATAATAGCGGTGAGGTTACATGTAGATCTCTCTTATGGGAGCGCATTCCTTGCTCCTGAGCTGCTCGTCACCTCTGAAATAATGTGGCCTGTACAAAATTTAGATTTAAGTAATTTTTTATTTTTTGTATTTTTTAAAACAATAATTTATAAAATTTTAAATAAATCTATTAATTACTAATATGTATAGTTTATATTTAATTAGATTGGTCCAAATTTAATATTAATTCTTTTATAATTTTTGTAAAGTGGCCCTACAGATTTACCCTGTATTGTTCAAATTCAAAACTTTCAATTGTCAGATTCAAAACAGTTTAAAGAAAATATGTATGATTTATTTATAAAAATTATAAAAAAATTAATATTAAATTTGAACCAATCTAATTAAATATGAATTGTACATAATAATAATTAATATATTTATTAAATTTTATAATTTTTTATTTTAAATAAATTTAAAATGTCCATTTGATCGTATTTATAAGTCATGATGTAGTTTTTTGGGTAATATTTAAAATATATTTTTAAAATTACTTTTCATGATAGATAAAAATTAACATAACACCATTTTTAAAATTTGTTATATAAGGACATATTTAAAATTTTATATACTTTATTTCTTTTATTTTTTTGTATTGGTATTAATGATATTGGCATAAATGACTTATAAAGAGAATTGAAGGAATATTTAAATTTGGACAATTATTTTAGGGGTATCCTTGATGATTAGTGAATGTGCCTCTGGGGTAATACCCCAGGAATATCTAGAAAATTTTGAGGAGAATAGATAGAAAAGTTTCCTAATTCAAATGAGGTTTCAAGTGCTAAATTTTAAAAATTTACATGTTCAGTTATTAATTTTGTAATTTTTTATAATAAATTTATAATATGTGTTTCTGAAATTTAATAATTAAAATTTTATTTAAATTAATTGATCCTTTTGAGACTTACATGTATTTTCTCAAAATTTTTTGCGCCCAGAAAAAATTGAATATTTGTCGGTGAGTATGAGAAAATTCTGGAAAGTGAGGGAGACGTTGATTTTATCAACTTTTCTTTTTCTTTTTATTTGGCCGAAATTTTATCAACTTTTCTATGTGGCAATATGCAAAGTCAAAAGTTTTGCTTGGCCTTCTTGAACTTTTTCCTGCTAGTTTTTTCCATTTTTGTGGATCTGAATGGTTTTTTTTTTCCCCTTTCTCACCAGGGGGTACTGCAAGATTTCTAACTCCTTTTTAGGGGTAGCTGGACTCTTCTTCCTTAGTGTTTTATATATTATTGACTTTCAAAAACAAAAAAAAAAACAGTGTTGCTTGGCCCATTTCCGACACGTTTTTCCAGTCTTGGTACTCTGTTTCCGACTCAACACTTTGTGAAAGCCCTCCCTTATCATTTGGCCCCTCTGATTTATCTTCTGGCTATTTCTTATAGCTTGTGCCTCTTCTTACACGTCATTCAGCAATTAGGTGCTTCTTCTCCTTAGCTGTCTTGCTAAAAAGCTCATGGCTCTGGTTTTTGAGTTTCGTTTCCTCTTGATTTCTCAGTTATTAGTTCTTTCAGCTTGGTATGGAAATGCAAGGCATGATCAGTGTCCAAGATCATTTAATTGCGGAGCGCTTGGGAGGCTCCGGTTCCCTTTCACCAAGCCAGAATTGCCGAATTGTGGCTTGATGGTGGTACATAATTGTGATGATTCAAATCCTTCTTCAAATAAAATGATTGAGCTAAAGAAGAATGGAACACCATTTCTGCAGCTTAACGGTGTCTTTCTGCAGCAAAATGGGATTACGGTGTTTGACCAAGATCTACACGATCGTTTGGAATCGAATGGTTCTTGCGAAGCCTTCAACAACAATATCTCAATTCCTGCAAGATCTCCTTTGATTTCTTTTGATATTAGATACAACACAACCCTGTTTAAATGCAACCACAAACTCAATGTCAGCACCCCCAGTGGTTTTATTAAAAATTCCTGTGCAGGCTTTGATATCTATCATTACAGCGTACTCTCTGATCTTAGTCCTCACCAAAAAAGCCTTTTCTCAGCATGTTTAACTCTTGTGCTTCCAAAAAAAGACCTGCCTGATAGCTCAGACCTTCAATCGTTCTTATCTGCTCAAATGACTCTGGAGGTACGAATATCTGATGCTTGTGATAAGTGTTACAATGACGAAGGAGGCTGGTGTCAACTTGACAGCAACAAATACTTCTACTGCAATGCCGTTAGAGGTATGTTCTTTATTGGTTTAGAGCTTGAGCATTTTTTCTTGTTTTCTGCGGTAAAAGATCACCTTTCATGCCAACTCCATCATTGATTTGATATTCTTGGCATTGCAGTTACAAATAGTCAAAATTGAAAGTGGAGTTTTCCATTATCTTCGTTTATGTTTTTCTTTGAACAGAATTAGATTCTACATGCAACATATTTCCAATATTTCATATATGTACCTACAGTTTAAGTATAGGGATTTTGTAAAATGTGCTGATAGGCTTAGTGAGTATGCTAGTAGGATGAATTCTCAAGGCAGTATATTCCATCCTCCTCCATCTTGGCTTATAGAGTTGGATGAAGAGGAAAGATGCACATGTCTATTTCAAGGAACAATATGTAATCTCTTTTGATTGCTGAATCTCACATTATTAAAAAAAATGATTTAATTCTCTAGATAAAAAAAAGACGAAAAAATATTTTTAAAAAAATATTAAAAAATAGTAAAAACTATTTCTCATTTTTTTACATGAAAGCTGAATCTGTTCCCCCACCCCTTTTGAAGGTTAACTAATTATTTTAGTCTTAACTTGATTCTTTCTTTGATTGCAGAGCGTAGGAGTAAGATTCTGAAGGTGGTACTTGCATCAGGTAATTTACACAATTATTTTAATCACTTGACGCTTTTAACTTCCAAAGTTAAAACTTACGTCTATGTGACTTTCTATGTACATGGTAAAATATCCTCAACCCAACTTAAAACTTGCCACTTCTGGTAATATATCTTACATTGTAAAATATTCATTTCACTTGATTAGTTTTAAAAAAAATCCACTTCTGAATTAGTATTTCCATGTGACCTAGGTATGCTATTTAGATTTTCCTTTTCTCCTTCACACCTCCATTTCTGTCAATTTACCAATTTAAGGAAATAAGTCACGACATTTTTTTTCTGTTATTTTGCAATATAACAAGCAATTCATCTAAACTTATTTTTGCAAAATTCTCGTGCAGCCTTTTCTATTGGAGTTATCATGCTGTTGATCTTGGCTTACTGCTTCAAACGAAAGTTTTTCCATGCTACGTTTTGTCTTTCCTGGGCAAGAAATCATCCAACACAGCAAATAATTGAAGATTTTCTAAAGCAACATAGAACCTCTTTTTCTAAAATTTATAGTTACTCAGAGATAAAGAAAATGACAAGCAACTTCAAAATAAAATTAGGCCAAGGAGGATATGGTATTGTATACAAAGGAAGCCTACTAGATGGGCAACTTGTTGCAGTAAAGGTACTGAGTGAACTAAAAGGTACTGGTGAGGAATTCATCAATGAGGTGGCAAGCATAAGCAGGACTTCTCATGTTAACATTGTTACTCTTTTAGGGTTTTGTTTTGAAGGGTCAAACAAGATTCTTGTTTATGAGTTTATGGCTAATGGATCTTTGGAGAAGTTCATATTTCAAAATGAAGCTAACCTCCATGATGGTAACCTACAGTTGAGTTGTGAAATATTGCACAAGATTGCAGTGGGTGTTGCACGAGGATTAGAGTATTTGCATAGAGGATGTAACACACGGATATTGCATTTTGACATAAAACCTCACAACATTTTGTTGGATGAGAACTTTTGCCCAAAAATCTCAGATTTTGGACTAGCTAAGATATGCCCTGGAAATGAAAGCATTGTATCCATGTTGGGTGCTAGAGGAACCATAGGATATATTGCTCCTGAGGTAATTTATAGAAATTTTGGTGCCGTCTCTCAAAAATCAGATGTTTATAGTTTTGGAATGATGGTTTTGGAAATGGTTGGAGGAAGAAGCAATGTGAATGTTAAGGTTGACAAAACTAGTGAAATATATTTTCCTCATTGGATTTATAAACGTCTAGAATTAAATCAAGACCTTGCATTGCAAAGCCTTAGAGATGAAGGAGACAAAGAGATCATAAGATGGATGGTGATAACAAGCTTATGGTGTATACAAACTAACCCTTCAGACCGTCCAATAATGAGTAAAGTGGTGGAGATGCTTGAAGGCAGAGTTGAGATTGTGCAACTTCCACCAAAGCCTTATTTATCATCTCCTTCTCGATCACCATACCCTTCCTCTTCCTCAACTCCTTGATTCCATAGTGATTATTTTCTCTTTATTTTTTTTTACCTATGGAATTTTTTGATTGTATATAGGTGTCCTCCTATTGGAGTGGAGGTAATCCTGTTCGAAATACAATAGGGCATTAAATGCGGGTATTTCTCTTAGTGAGAATTTGAATCTTGATTTGTCATATTATAAGGCATTTAATATAGGGCATTTTCATTTTGGAGCTCATATGTTCAAGTTCTTGTGTCTGCTTTTTATTTTATGATAAGATCTCTGCTAATACATTAAAGTTTCACATGCATAGACAATAAGAATGGATGGTAATGCTTGTGGACATGTATTTTTGTTTGGTCTCTCTTTGTTGTACATTTCTTCTAATCTCACTAAGTAGACAAAGAGACAAATAAACAAAAATGATTGAAATGAGACAATGCAATAATTCCAGTAATGTATTCTTTTTGTTGATTTATAAGGTTGGATATTGTTAATAATAGTCACCTAAACGAGTCAGCAGATTTGAAAGCTTTTAATTTGAAAATTTTTCACTGTTGCGATGAATGGATCACTTGAGTGACTTAAATCTACTCACTCCATAACTATCTCACTTATATTTATTAAATTTCATCAACACTTAAAACTTATTAAAATACATTTTGTCAAAAATTTAAAATAACACTTATGATTAAAATACTTCTTAAATAAAAAATTTGAGATTTGGCATTGTTTGAACATGACAAGATTTCTTACAGGCATTTTAGTAAATCAAATGGATGTTATCATGTACATTTAGATATTCATTGAGTAAGTGGATTTATGTCACTTATTGGATTTAAATCTATAAGCTTACATGTAGGTGGGTCCTTGTATGTATATTGTAGCTATTTTGCATCCCTCAATTTTTTTCATCTTCATTTTTAAAATTATAAAATATTTATTTATTTTTAAAAACTTTGCTTTTACTTTTCATCTTTACTCACTTTATTTTTTTAAATTTTGTTGTTTGTTTTTTTTAAATAAAATTTTCTTTATATTGTTGTTCTTGGCGTTTCTTATTTGGAAACAATTATTATACAATTTAAGATATACTAACCAAATTAATATCAATTTAACCATAATTTAACAATGGTTGACTTTGAAACAGGAACCAATATCTTGATTGGATAATTGGTTTGATTTCTAATAGCTTATGTTTACTTGCGTTTTCTTCAGAATAAAACTACATTTGACATATTTTTTGGATCATAATTTTATTATTATCTTTTTTATTTATATATAATATTTTTTTCATTTTAAATTATAAAATATTTTTAAATTAAATTATAGTATATAATAGTCAGTTAACGATCATTGAACCACAATATATCAAAGTGTTAAAAAAAGTTTGAAAACAAGCTGGCCCACCTTCTATAACGATTTACCAGTCTTGGTCTTGGCACCCTATTTCGGAATCAACACTCATACCGAAAGTCGTCCATTACTGTTCATGGAGAGGATACCTCACGCTACTTCTGTCAGGTCTTCGAGCAAGTAACGAACAGAAGCTTCACTTGTATTTGAAAATCTGGTCCTTGTTAGAGTCCTCAAGTGTTTTATTTCAAAAGTACTGCAGAAATATGGCCACGGTTTCTGTGTTTCGTTTCCTCTTGTTGTTTCGTCACCTTGTAATTCTTCTCTCAGCTGGGTATGGAAATGGGAAGCATGATGATAAGTGTCCTAAATCTTTTGATTGCGGACAATTTAGGAACCTCCACCTCCCTTTCACCAAGCCTGAACTGCAACTCTGCGGCTTTATTATCATCATTCATGGTTGTCACGACCCGTCTTCAAATAAAACAATACAACTAGACAAGAATGGAAGACCACTCTTGCTTAAGAAGGTCCTCCATCAGCAGCATGAGCTGAAGTATATCATCACAGTTTTTGACGAAGATCTGCACCAACGTTCGAGATCAAGAACTGGTGAAGCTTTCAACACTACCATGAGCAGCATGACTCTTCCTCCAAAGTCTCCTCTGGCTTCTTTTGATATCAAACACAACACAACCCTGTCCAATTGGAACCATGGCCTTGACTTTGACTCCTTTCGTTTAATCAATTATCACTGTTCTGACTATGATTTATACTGTGAAGACTCACGCGGGCCGCCTCCTACTAATCTGGGCCCCTGTGACCAGGAAGAAAACCCTTTTGCAGATTGTTCGGCTATTCAATTTCCTTGTAAACACCTGGTCGATGTCGAAGATCCTTCAAGGTTCTCATGCGATGTGATAGACATTGAGGTACAGGTATCTGGTATTTGTGAACAGTGTTACAACCGCATGGGAGGCCGACGTCTAGTGGACACCAACAATAACCTTCACTGTGATATAGGTATACTCCAGCAGCATCCCTTTATGTGTATGTATGTATATGTAGGTATGTCTTTTTAATAGATAATACATAATAACACTTCCTCCCAAATTCGAGATGCCCTTGATTTTGTAACAACTTGTATTATTTGATTTGAAGGATAAATTTCAATAGATAATAATATCATAACAAGATTAAAAGTTACAAAACTGAAGTTAAAATTAAAGTTATTGCCTAAATCGTGATTTATATTTTGATATTTTTTTTTAAATTTGATTTTAATACTAGATAAAGCCAAAAGCTCATTTTTTTTTTTTTTTGCTTCAATTTTAAGGAGTTCCTTACTAGACCAAAAGCTTTTTTTGAGATTTCGTTTTTCCAAATATCCTTCCAAAATTTCTAATGAACTTTTAAGACCAAACCTCAGTTTAGATTTTATTCATACATGCCAATAAGCTAGTGTTTACTTTTTGCTTCTAAAGTCAAGTAAGCTCCCTGTTATCATTATCATCAATCTCAGCTCCATTGCTATGCGTAATATTTTACTTTTTATCTTGGTCATTTTCTTTTGCTACTGATTTCACCATTGACTTGCAAAATTTCAAATTTTGTAATCTTGCTTGAATTTAAAGTTATATGAAAGAGGGGCGCATAAATGAACATAACTTTTTCCTAAGAATTCAAACAGTTAAACCAAAAATTACACTTGCACTTCTCTGCCTCCACTCTCACCACAGCACACCACTTTACTTCACAAATTCACTTTATTTCTCTCTCTCACACACAATCTCATTCTAAGCTCACACATTAGTTGGTTTTAATACTTGAATCTTCATTTTCACCTCTGTCCAAAGTCGATTTTTTTTCTTGATAGATTATTCCAGATTACTAATTCATTAGTTTTTTTTGGCAGGGGAAACAGGGTCAGTGCATTTGGCTCTTATAGGTGAACCATTATATTTAATTAACTATCATCTCTTTCTGTTGATTATTTTTCAAAGGAATGCCACACCATCTCACCTCATCTAATAAATTTCCTCGCAGTTTCTGTTACTGAAATAGCAGGAGTTGTATTCATTATAATTGTCTGGTTTAGATGAACTATATTTTCTCATAAAATCACTAGACTCTGGATAAGCAAATCTAAAGCCCATCAAGATTTTGAGGCTTTTCTCAGCAGCCATGGACCGCTTGCTGCAAAAAGATATGGCTACTCAGACATAAAGAAAATGACAAACTCTTTGGTTCAGTCTCTCACAAATCCGATGTCTATAGTTTTGGGATGCCAGTTTTGGAAATTGTCAGAGGAAGAGGCAATGCGATTGTTAAGGTGGGGAATACCAGTGAAATATATTTTTCTCATTGGATTTACTAGCGTCTAGAATTGAACGAAGACATTGCACTGAGGAGCATTAGGAATGAAGCTGACAAAGAGAGGATGAGGCAGATGGTGATAACAAGCTTGTGGTGCATACAAACCAGCCCTTCACACCATCCAATGACGAATAAAGTACTGGAAATGCTTGAAGGGAGAATTGAGACCTTGCCAGTACCACTAAAACCTTGCTTATCATCTCCTTCCAGATCATCACGCCTTTCCTCTTTCTCAACTCCCTGATTCCATAATTTTTTTGAGCCATGGGGCATTTTCATTGAAGCGCGCAACTCAAGTGCTCATATGTTTCTGCCTTTGGGCATGCTTGCTAGTTTCTTAAGATACATTGTAAAAGAGCTATCTGCTGATGCATTTTGGCATGTATTGACATAAAAAACTCGTTAATGCTTCCAAACTTGTATTTTGTGGTCAATTCTCTATTGTTAAAATACTCTTAAACTTGTTGTGTAGGGAAAAAAAGGCAAACAAAGAGAAATATCTAAAGTGAGGCAATGTAATAACGCCAGCAGTTCTATCATTTTTGTTAATTTATAAGGTCTGGTACTGTTGATAATAGTCATATATGCAAGTCTGCGATGTTCCAAGACTTTCAACTTGAAAATGTCTCACTATCTCGATGGATGAATCCAAATAAGTGACTTCTCTCTTTAACTAGACGATGAGAGGTTATAGTATGATTGATAATCAAGTTCTTAACAAGTTGGTTTATTTTGTGTTCATTTGAAAGTAGCTCTCTTCAGTTTGTTTAAGCTGCTTTAGACTGATATTAGATAATACCAGTCTAAAAATTAGAAGTGATAAACAAATATGACAGTATTATTGATTTATGAAAACAGCCCGACCAAACATTGACTCTAAGCTTAATATTCTTCACCTTCATTCTCGAAAGTATTTTGCAAGTCACTGTTGACTGTAGATGTAGCATGGAGCTAGAATTCTATCATCTGGCACCTTCGTACATGTTTCCCTAGCATTTGTAGTCCGTTTCAAAGTCTACACAATCATCTTAGACTCAGTTATATAAACCTAAGCTCTCCATTGTTTCTTTGCATCCATCTTTCGGTAACATTCCTACTTTGTATCAGTAAGTATATCCTCTATTCTTAGTTTTGCTTCTCTAATTTCCTCCCATATCGTGCTTCTTCTTTCAAGTCAACCAGTTCAAATAGGTTATATACTTTGAAGAAAAAGCAAGGAAAAACATAACTTTTGGTCCCTACGCTTTGCTCGTGTTTTGCTATAGGTCCCATAACTTTTTTTCGATGTTCTAGTTCCCTACACTTTCATTTTTCGGTGTTCTAGGTCCTTAAATGAAAAAAATTTAGGAACCTTAAAGGGACCTAGAACACTGAAAAATGAAAGTGTAAGGACCTAGAACATCGAAAAAAAGTGCAGGGATCTCTGGCAAAACACGATCAAAGTACAGGAATCAAAAGTTAAGTTTTTTCAAAAAGCAAACCAAATTGGGATGATTCCACTTTACATGTCTCACTTTCTCTCTTATTCTAAACTTGTACTGCTATTCCTAGCTAGACGTGGAAATGGAAATCATGATAAGTGTCCTAAATCATTTGAATGTGGAGAACTTGGGAAGATCCACTTCCCTTTCACCAAGACAAAGAGACAGGACTGTGGCTTAATGATGATACAAGGTTGTGATGATCCATCTTCAAAGAAAACAATTCAAATGGAGAAGAATGGAAGGCCCTTAAAGCTTACAAGCATCCATCAGCAGGCTAATTCTATTACTGTTACTGATGAAGATCTACAAAAGAGGTTTAAATCCAAAACTTGTGAAGTTTGTAGCAAGAATATCACTCTTCTTCAAGGCTCTCCTTTGGTTTCTTTTCATACCAAACATAACCTAACCTTGTTTAGATGTGATCACAGCCTTGTCAACATCAGCTCTCTTGCCAAAGTTTATAATTATACCTGCCATGACTATAATATCTATCATTACCGCTTGCATAAGAATCCTCTTAATCATTACCGAAGACCTTTCTCTGTATGTTCTATTCTTCTGCTTCCAAGTAAACACCAGCATCATACCAAAGACTTTTTATCATTCTTAACTGTTCAAATCGTTATTGAAGTACAATTATCTGAAGCTTGTAATAAGTGTTACAACCACATGGGAGACCAATGTTGACTAGACAGCAATAGGAACTTCTATTGTGACAGAGGTACGTGTGTCTGCTTGACTCTTATAACTCTACTTCAAAAATTTGTATGCATTCCAGTTTTTGGAGTTCCAAGAATTGTAAGATCTTAATATATTTTAACTTTCATAGTTATTATCTTTTACCCAAATTGCCCGTATTGTTGTGTTGCATAGAAAAGTTAGATTTATGTATGGCTTATAAAAAGAGGAATATTTTAAGAAAACTTGCACACATTTTTTTAACAAATAATCAACTTAACTATTTTTCTTAATCCATGTAAATTAGTTGACTAGCTCTTCTATTTAGGATTCGAGGGAGTAACAGTTTTTCACTAAATAGGCTAAAGTGTACCTTTATTCCTCTAATTTTATATAAAGTTTCAGTTTGATCTCTTAATTTTATAAAGTATATTTTCAGTCCTTTAATCCTAATACTTTTAGTTTTAAATGATTATTTTTTGTATCAATTACTATTATTTTAAAAATTAAAGTTGATATGTTAGAATGGAATTTTAATATTTGAAAGTGCTATGTATGAATTCCTCATTGATAAAACTAATGATGTTAAAGTTATATGACTAAAAAGATACATTGAATAAAGGGCTAAATATATACCTTAGGCTATTAAATATTGTAGTTGATATTTCCTTTCCAAGGGAAAAATTGTGCTAGATTTCTTGTATTTCAAAGCTACTACACACTAATATTGTGGCCAAGAACATAGATATTACTTGAAAAACCTTTAAGTTCTCATGAAAAGTTTATTATTATTTTCCAACTTTGGAAAGTTCTTAAACTCATAATCATAGCTACTTTAAAATTGAAATAATGTTGGTCCAAAAAATGAATCATTTATATGTTTTTATCAGCATCCTTAACAATAAACCAAAGAAGCTCCCCCCCACCCCACCCCAACAAATTAAGACTGCTCTTTGGTCAAGCAGGATATAGCACACAGAGTATGACTTTCTACAGATTGGTTCTGTTTCTGGTTTAACTTGTGCTGGTGGGAGGCTCGTAATTGCTTCTGATGGCATCTGGGATGCTCTATCCTCAGAAATGGCTACAAAATCTTGTCAGGGTTTGCCTGCTGAACTTGCTGCCAGGCAGGTTGTGAAGGTAACATGCATAATGCTATCTGATAATTTCTATCAGGTCAATATTTCCTTTAGCCTGAGGCTTGACTTGAGATTCATGCTGAACATATCTGACATTTGTGCTCATATTGATATATGCTTAAGTTTGTACTTACTCCTTTTGTTATTCAGGAAGCATTAAGGAATAGAGGTTTAAAGGACGATACAACTTGTATAGTAATTGACATAATTCCCCCTGATAATGCAATGCCACCGCCTCCTCCCCCAAAAAAGCAGAATAAATTGAGAGCTTTACTGTTCAGGAAATCCAGTGATTCCGCTAGTATGCTAGCAAAGAAGCTTTCAACTGTTCATATAGTAGAGGAACTGTTTGAAGAAGGATCAGCCATGCTTGCTGAAAGGTAATCTCACATTCTGAGGCAAAAATGTTTCAGTTTTGGAGGTATCACACAAATCTCTTGACAATGACTTTCTTCAAGGTTTCCTTCTCTGAACATATGTTTGCCCAATCAAATTTTATGCTGTTAAAAGTGATGGCTAATTTGTCTGAAATTTTGATATAAGGAAAAAGGGGGGGTAATGGAAGAGGATGATCTTTTTAAAGGAACAAAGAAAAGAAAAAGAATGGAAGTCACCCCAATTTTTGAGCAGTTTTGAATGAGAGTTGTATTTATTTGTGATTTAACATGCAGATTATAAACTTCTGTAATAGAAAACTTCATAAGGATCTTCCTCAAGCAGAGGGCCTTTAGAGATTTAAGCTTTATTTTCTTACTCTTAGAGGGCCTGACAATTTTATCACTGAAACTTGCATTATGGTGTAAGCATAAGCATGTTACCGTTGACGAGTATTGAGTATTATCATATGGCCGAACCCTATTGCCTTCATAGATTGTTCTTCTAGTGATTCGTATTTTCGATTCCATGCCTGACTATTTTCTTCTAATTTTCCTAGTTTTCCATTTGAGTAGTTGTTAGATATTTGTTATCAAGTTTTTCAACAAAAACATTGACATGTTAGATATTCATCACATGATTGACTCTTCTGAAAACTATTTCTCCATGAACTACATTTTCATTACACAACCTACATGTAAACGCTTAGGTAACTTCAATGAAACAGGAGCCTGAACGTACCCACTCGTAACTCACGTTGCTCCTCCATTGATAACCTTGAATGCCCATAATTCTCTCTGTAACCTTCCTAGGCTAATAAAATAGCTCATGTAACAGCTGAAACTCCATCTTCAGCATTTAAATCATTGGTTTTTAAGGTTCAATATAAATAGCCATCTCATTTCACTTCTAAGACATCAAATTGGAGAATAAATAGAGAACTTTTTTCAGAGAGTGGTTTCTGTGCCATTCAATTAGGTTTTGTTTAATGTCTTGACTCTTGACTCTTTTCATATATTTTCTTTTGTTCATATTGAAGGTTAGGGAATGATGGGAATTCAGGGGAATCAACCTCTGGGATTTTTGTGTGCGCAGTGTACGAGATAGATCTTGCTTCAAGTGAAGGCATATCTCTCCATGCTGGCTCCATTTTCTCCACCACCTCTAAGCCTTGGCAAGGCCCTTTTCATTGTGCTGACTGTCACAATAAGAAGGAAGCGTCCTAGTGGAATTAGAGTCTCATAGCTTTTCTTCACATATTCATTATCGTTTTCCCGCTTTTCTTGTAGTCATGATTTTTATAGGTCAAGTAATTGCTTAGATCCCACTATAAAGTACTGACATGTATATGTAATTTTCTCAAGTTCTAACAAAATGGGCATCACTTTTAATTTGCAAAAGCTGAACTGAGCTTTGGGAAATTCGATGGTGCCATTTTATAAATTATAAACAGTGGAACTTACTACTTGGACTTCCCATATTCTAATTATTAACATGAGGTTGACATGTCATAAAGCTTGGATTTTCCATGAAGTATTTTCTTTATCCTAATTTTAAATTATATTTAAATCTTGAGAAATCTAACTGTGCTTTCTCAATTTCGTGGGACTTACTTGTAAATAAGTCTTCTTCACAGGACGTTTATGTAATTTTCCTTAAGAAATAAGTGAATATCATGCAAAATCAAATATTTCTTTGGAAAACATCATTGGGTGAAACATGGAAAATTTTAAATGGAAGTATCAAATTGAAGAGCAAAAATGAATAAGTAAATCCACTCATTTAAGAAGTAAGCCAATAAGAAACAAGACAGATAATTCGGTGTTTCCTTACAATAGAATCACTTTGGCTTTTGGTGGTGGGCATATAATAGAATAGAAGATTACATTCTCACTTGGCATTCAAATCCATCTCAAAGTAGAGCTTGAAAATTCACTTCCAAATCTCATTTTAATCCACATCTCAAAAGCCATTTTGTTTTAGCTTATGTAAAATAATTCCATTTTTGAGAGAGGTAAATTTCTAAATCTACCAGTCAAATCAGTTTTAATATAGTTATGGAATGATAGGATTATTTTTATAATTTCAGACATAAAATATAAAAAAGAAAAATAAACAAAAGCTTTTTGGAGTGGGAATAATAAACAAAATAAATTCATCTACTATGGTTGTCTTAGCTTGTTTTTCTTCTTTCAGGTGTAAGTGGGAATAATAAACAAAAGCTTCACTGTTATTTGAAATTCAGGTTCTCGTTGGAATCCATAGTCCTTGTGTTATTTTTCTGTGCATTCTTGTTATTTGATATTGAACTTGGCATTATTAAACCATTTCTAACGTCATAACTTGTTTAGAAGTATATTTTTAAAATGTAAAAAAATTTAAAATCTTTTTATTTAACTTTTATATATAACCTGTTTAAAATGTTTCTTTTCTAAACCGGAGATATCTAAAAAAAATGCTAAACTGACGATAAAGTCAATTTAATAATTTGACAACAATAGTACCAACTTTACTCTTGACAACATGCTTGAAACTAAACTTGTTTGAAATATTACCTTAAACTATAAAATAAATATCACTGTTAACCATGAAACAACATCAGCTTGTTTGGTTTCTATTTTAAAAAATAAAAAATAAAAAAATTTGTTTGGGTAAGTGTTTTGAATTTAATCATTTTTAAAACTATTTTCATTTGTTATTTTAAAAAAAGAAACTCAAAATATCTGTTAACAAGAATGAGGAAGAAACTTCGGACGATATATTGTTCATACAAAATTTAATTTCCTTCTCAATGGTTTTATCATGCATTATTTTAATTTCACAAGTTTGGCTCCTTCATACCCAACGTGTTTTAACCCATCTTCGTGTTTAATTTATTTCCAAGTCAACATTCGTTGCGAGAATATTCCTCCAATATTTTTCTCCTTACTTCTCTTCTGGTGGTGACTGACTTATGGCCCATTTGATAAGTAGATTGTATGTAAATTTGAGGTTAATTATAATTAATATAATTTATAAATATTTTATGGATATATTTATAATCAAAATAATATCAAAGAGCCATATACCTCCGTGCTTTTAGGCAGATATTCAGGCCAGTCATTCCCGCATCAACCCTCTTGTTAGCAGGTGGGAATTCCTAAGATTTAAGAAGAATTTTACTAGTTACATTTATTGTAAATTTAAAACTTTTAGAAGTTGGATTATCTTTTGATTAAGATTTATAAAATTTTATCTTTTGAATAATGTGGCCTTCTAAATAATCTATTTTATATGTTAATATATGTTGATGTTAAAAAAATTGGGTATTTGTTTATGGTTTGTGTATTCTACTATGCTTATTTAATAGTTGATATCGTTGCAAATGATGAGCGATTACTCAACATAGAAGGAGAAAATAAATGGATATAGAACAGCAAAAAATTTGTTACCAGCAAAATCATATTTTTGACAAAATATGATTGAGAGGGTGTTAGAAAATTCAATCAAAAATTAAATTTCCTTCTAAAGAGTAAGATTTTATCTGCAATTTTCAAAACGTCTGAGAGCCTTGTATCGTTTTTCCAGTCTTCGCACTATGTTTCCAAGTCAACACTTGCAGCATGAGTCTTCCAATAATGTTCGTCGCCCCAATTTTCTACTGTTTGTCGTCTTACTAATAGCTTGAGCCTTTTCTTTTCCTTTTTCTTTTTTGTCCCTGTCAAGACATTCAATAAGTGCTAATGCAATTAAAAATGAATAAATTCACTTTTATTGGAAAATCAGTTCTTATTTAATGTGTATTACTACTACAATAGAAGTGGTGGATTATCTCTATTTTTGAATTTTGTTTCCTAGATTTCCCATATCCCTTTGCCAGAATAGGAATTAAAGTGTATGTAGGATATTATTTTTATGTAATATTTATTATAATCATTATCCTTCTAATTTTTTTATTTTTCTAGAAATATATAAAAAAAATCATTTCCACTTCATTTCCCTTTTTATGATATGCAAACCATTTGATGCTTCACGTGCAATTCAGTATGAAGGAAGCACAAGCACAACACAAGGGAGGACATTTCAAGGGATCACCATCATCTTGATGAGCATGGAGTGTTGATCTCACATCTGAATTATTTAAATTTAATTTTGACATTTAGATTTAATTTAATTTAACTAATATATTTTTAATGATCTATTGTTTTACTATGAGCAGAATTTAAAATAAAGATAATTTTCCAATTATCACATTTTAAAAAATAATTTGTTATTTAAAATTATCAATAAAAGAACTTTAAATTTACACCGTCGATATAAATCTTAAAAGGTCTAGATCTTATAGCAATGACACCCAATTATTGTATCCAACAAACCTCTAAATGCAGTCATGTTGGACATTGATCATCTGATTATCCTTCAGTTGATCAAATGCACACGAATCATCTGATTTTAACGAAGTTTCGTCATTTTTGTCGATTTTGCAAGATGATGGATCGAAGACAATATGGTCTTTCTTCGCTAGCGAACAAACACAAAACGAACTTCCTCCATTAGAAATTGGAGTTTTGAAGGGGGGGAAAAGCAGAGCAACTAGTTTGTTATCTGAGAGCCTCTTATCTGAGTGAGGACTGAGTTATGTCACCCCAGGTTGCCATGTTATTGATTCTGAACTTTATGCTTTTATTTGGAAATGTTTTGGGTTCTTTGAACCCAAGCTTGCGAGCCCAGAACCTGTGGAAACGACCCTACTATAAGCTACCCCTTCCGTATCAGAGGTCTACAACACCTCTCCTGTGGATTACCTCTTTTTGGCCTTGTCTGTGCTTCCAATGGCTTCCCCCTGCTCAATCTCTCCAATACTCTCTACATCGTCGATGAAATTTTCTACAACAATCGCTCCTTTCGAGCCTCCAAACCTGACTTGCAAATCTCCAATATCACCAATTGTTTCTCTCTCCAACAACGTCACTCTCGGCTTCAGGTTTAGTTTTGCTTCGAACCAGAAACAGGTGTTGCTGTTCTTCGATTGTGACAAGTCGTCGTTGCCGGAGGAGATGAAAGAGAACAGAGCGGGGTGTTGGGAAGGGAACAGAACGAGGTCGGTATTGGGATTGGCCGTGGACGATGAGGAGGAGATGTTGAAGTATGTGAAGGATAATTGCAGGGGTGAGACGATGACGACGGTAGTGGAAAATGTGGAAGGAGGGATCAGAGAGGCGTTTGGAAGATGAGTGAGTGCTATGCAAGCGAGAGCAGTGGAGGAAGGTGTGGCTTCGACGCAAATCAGTTTAGATTCAGGTGCCATTGCCCCGACAGGGATAAGTTTCTGGAATGTTCTGCTCCTAGTTTGTATAATGTATTTCCCACGTTGGTTTAGATTTTTTTATTGTTAAAAAGAAATGAAGTGAAATAAGTTAAAAAAATAAAAATAAAAATAAGATAATATGTGGAGATAAATGTGTGAACCATATTTAGAATAATTTAATTTATGAAATTTTTTTACCAGTTTTTTATTTATGAGATTAAAAATCATAATTCATAAAAAATTTTGAGTTGTATGTGATGATTTTTACGTTTGTAATATATAATATTAAATTTTATGAGGAATATCATTAGAAGGAATAAAAGTAATTAATTTATTTTTGTTTCAATGTTTTCAATTCATTACATTCCCATCTTTTTCAGCCAAATGGACCTTAAATGTGTATAATAAAAGTCACTGGTTATTTCTTGTAAAATTTTAAAATTATTGTTACTAAAACTCATTGGTTCGAGCTTAGAAGAGTTATTTTAATTAGTTAGCGAGTTATAGCTACTGGACTAATACCACATGTCTTAAATAAGAAGAAGAAGGAGTATGTTATATATATAAGAGGGCGCGATGACATATTAGTTTTGCATTTAAACAAAACAGGTTATATTTTAATATATGCATGAGTTTCTTATAATAAGGATTAAATTTTTTTTCTATTCCTAATTATAAAGGTATAATAAATATTATGTATTTACTACAAAGAACAAAATATGTTTTCTGAATTTGATTTCAATTAACTTGTTTAATTGTTTTGGTGCTTGCTTCCAATTATTGCTTCTTTTGAATGCAGATCACAAGAAAATGAGATTCATGCTGGTACTTGGACTAGGGCTAGGTAATTTACTCAAAAGGAAATTGTGTTGAAGTTTCATCTAAAAAAATTAATTTTTATAAGATTTATTGATAATTGAATTAAGATTAATAATATTT